AGGATGAGATCCTGAGGCTTTTGAGGGGTGGAGCTGGTGGTGCTAGTGGAGTTAGTGGTGCTGATGAAGATGGAGGAGAGGATTGATTATTTTTGTTCTTGAGGGGGAGTAGTTGATTTATATTCTTGATTGCTTGTTGTTTGTTGATTCTGCTTTGAATAGTTTCTATGAAATTTCTGTACTGTTGTGGAGGGGTTTTCTCTTGATACTTCTTGTGGATGCTTATTTGTGATTATTATGGATACTTGTACTTATGGAGGCTGTTTATTTTTTTTTAGAATTGATTGTGGATAATTTAAGTTATGTTTTGAATGGATGAATTGCATCATTAACATTATTGTAGACACATTATCCTTTATGGAATGAATGATTTAGTTTATCACTTTTATTTGTTTAAAATGCATATATAGGATTAACACTCTAATTCTTGTTAATAACGAAACAGATGTGGATGTTAAGATTGCTTGTGAAAATGACTAAGCACATGATCGATTTGACACCTCAACTTAACAACCAAGACGTAAAATCTCATTTTTTGGAACATCGATACTATCTCAATGATTTAATTGACAAATATACATCAGTATGTGTTATTCTTGGGGTATACAGTGATCAGACTCAAAAATGAAATCGCTATATAACTAACACTCCTCAGAACACTAGATATAATCAGTGGAGATGACAAAGAAAACCATGGTAAGTCTTGAGCCTTACGGTGCTTTTTGAGAGGATATCAACAATTACTCAAAGTAAGCTCTTTCACTTCTGATCTCTTTCAATTATCTCATTAAACTTGATTTGATTGATGCAACTAAAGTGATCTATTTTCATAACCCACAGTGAACTTTTGCATACATATACATATGCACATACTTGAGAAAGGATCTTAGGCTATCTTTGGATTGACTTTGAGCCTTAGCTAATTCTTTTACAAAAGTATATCCCTAGTCAGCCATGCTTGAGCCTTAAATGAATGAATTCCTTTTTTTTTTTTAAAACCCATGTGATGACAAGCCCCAATAGCATATATTTACCATACCTTGTTATCTGATTTCTTACACCCTCTTGCAAATCAATATGACACAGAAAGGCAAAAAAAATAGAAAAAAAAATGGTAGCTACTATTCAATAAAAGGAAAATCGGTGGAACCAACCGAAAAGAAAAAAAAAGATGCTATGAGACAGAGAATTTTTAAGAAAGTGAAAAATGGAAAAAAATGAAAGAAAGAAAAATCATTCCTAGGCAAAATGTCGAGAAATTAGAAGGAGGTGTGCAACACTGCGTAAAAAGATAACCTTTGATCACCATTGACGTTATTTCATTAGCCACTGATCTCTGGCCCCATTACAACCTACAAAAAGCCTTAGGTGATCTCAAGTGTGATGAATATGTGTATTGTTTACTATATATGGGGTGTGTTAACTAGAACTTCTTTATTTACATCAATATTCTTCCATGAGATTATGCCAAAGTAAAGTCTGTTTTCCTCAAAACTTCACTCTTATACTAATGGTGCATGTGATTTTTTTCAATTGGCCATCTTCTGATCACATGACCTTTGAGAGATATGTCACTATATTCGGAGCGATTTGTTTTGCTGAGAGCATTCCTAGAAAGGTTTGTGTAATCAAAGCTATCTATGGAAGGTGAAAAAAGGGATTAATTGTTATATATCAATTCTTGTTTCTAGTATGACCATCCTACTACTCAAGGAATTTCAAGTGCTGATGCAACAAGTGCTAATTTTCGCATAGAATGAGTACCAATAGAAAAGAAATGTAGGGAAAAGTCACGATTGAGGGTCAAGTGTCTTAACGACCATAATGCTTATTCATTTTTAGTCAGCAATCTCACATACACACTTGTTCGACTGAAGTTTGTGGGTAGCTTCACTGAAAACCATCATGAGACAACACTCGTCCACTAGGGTAAATCTAGTGGTTTAACGGCTTGTTGTATAAGCTAAATGAAACTGGATGACCTACGAAAAAGGCATTAGGAATAGATTTACCTTCATTGTTATTGTATTACTGGAGTCTATCAATATTTAGGTTGGGGTGGTGATTCGTGCATAAAGTTAACATTTTTTTGCTATGCCTTTTTGGACCATAATGCCTTTTTGGACTAATTGTGATTCATGTTTAGTTTGCTTCATTTAGTAACTCCTCCACTTAGAGGGATGAGTAGCACTCACTTTTATAGCTTTGTCAAGGCCATGAAAAATGAGTAGTTTTTCATTCACTCTTTAGTAAGAGGTGATGAATATGTAAAGATTATCCGAAAGTTATGTTTGTGTAACTTCTTCATGATTTAATGCTTTATACTCCACCTGTTCATTGGATGATTGAATGTATCTAGCAAAGTTGAGGTACTTTGTGTAACTAAGGGCTCCTTCTATGATACAGATGACTCCTGCATAGAAAGACCTGTTGGTTCAAGGCAAGTACCCTGACTAGCTCTTCTTGACAACCTTTCAATCCCCACTATTATTGTGCTTTATTCAAAAAATGAATCATTAATGTCATGGTTGGATGCCTTGTAAAAACACTTACTTGTTTGTAGACGGATTAAGTCTCGGCACAGATAATTCTTGTAAACTTCTAGAAAGGCATGTGCTTAATTCTCACAATCCATCTTTATCTTTCGATTAACTTGTTGTTGACACGGGAGTTAATTGAGTTATAAAGCACAAACATAATAAATTGGATACTCTATTACATGTCCTGATCCTTGAGTTAAAGGGTGGCTGTTACATTTTAAAAATCTTATATTTTGTCTAGAAAACTCTTGAAAAGAATCTTCTATTCTATTCAAAAAAACCCCACTACTATAAACTCTCGAAATTTTCAGTTATTTGGTTTATATTATTGCTTACTTCAAAACACTAATCATAGTTCTCTGTGGATTCGACTCCGGACTTAGCCAAATTATTACTATAACTTGACCGCCTGCACTTGGGTGTACACATTTAGAATCAAGTTAGTGGGGGGTGGTGATGGTGTTGGCAATGGTGGTGGGTGGGTAATGGTGATAGTGGTAGGTAGTGGTGGTGGGCGGTGACGATGGTGGTGATGGGCGACAATGGATGTGTTTTGAGCGACAGTGTGATAGGGTAATGGTGAATGACGGTGGTGGTGGTAGGTGTGACGGGGGGTGGGTGACAGTAGGTGGCGGTAGTGATGAGCGATGACTGGTGGTGGTGGTAAATGTGGTGGGTGTGTGTGACAGTGGTTAGCGGCAATGGTGAGCGATGACTAATGGTGGTGGGTGCTGACGATTGGTGACGATGGTAGTGAGATGATGGTGGTAGTTGTAATAAATATAAAAATGAGATGACGATGGTGGTGGTGGTGGTAAGTCGTGGCGGTGGACGACGGTAGTAGCAATCGGTGGTAAGTGGTGATGTTGGCGATAGTGATGGGGTAATGGCGGTGGTGGGGGTGGCGGCAACGACGATGGTGGGGGTGGTGGATTGGTAGTGGTAGCGATGTGTTTTAGGGTGGGGGTGGTGCATTGGGAATGGGTGGTGGTAATGGTGATGATGAGATAATGGTGGTGGTGGGGCGGTGGAGTTAGTGCTGGTGATAGGGTGGCTATAGTGGAAGTGGCAACAACGACGGTGTTGGTAGGGCAATGGTGGTGGTGGTGGTAGTGGTAGTGGTGGTTGTGGTATGGGTGGTAATGGGGGGTTGACAAGGATGATGGTGCTGATGGTAATAGTGGTGGTAATTGTGATAATGATGATGGGGCAGCGGGGGTGATGGGACGGGTGGTGATAGGTGGGGGTTGGGGGTGGTGATCGTGGGGCGGTGAGACAGTTATNGGTGACAAGGATGATGGTGCTGATGGTAATAGTGGTGGTAATTGTGATAATGAGGATGGGGCAGCGGGGGTGATGGGACGGGTGGTGATAGGTGGGGGTTGGGGGTGGTGATCGTGGGGCGGTGAGACAGTTATAAACATTATTTTTTTTATGAGAAGTTATAAATTTTAAAAGTATTTTTAAAAAATCATTCCAAATACATTTTAAGGCCTATCTTTTTTATTGAATTTGGAGTATTAATATTAACCATCAGATTAATTTTAAAATAAAATTTTAAAAAATCTCAACTAGGAAAAATAAAAATTATTTTATTTATCTTTTAAAATTTATATTATATTTTATTATATAGATATACTAGTTATTGTCTGTACTTGAAGACACATAGTAATAAAAAATAAAAAATAAAAAATATATTTGTATTCATATTCAAAACAAATCACAAACATAGAGGAGAGATAAATGAATTTAAGTATCAGTTGTAGTGGGTGTAAGAGGTGGTGGGCGACAGTGGTGATGGTAGGAGAAAGTGATGGTGGCAACAGTGGTGGCAGCTGCGACAGTGGCAGAGGTGGTGACGGTGGTGGCAGCGGCAGAGGTGGTGGTAGAGGTAGTGGTGGTGGTGATAAAAGTAGTGGTGAGACGATTTCAAACACTATTTTTTTTTAAAGTACTTATGAGAAATAATTCCTAAAAATACTTTTAAAAAATTATTTTAAACATATTTTCAGGGGCTTATTTTTTCTATTAAATTTAGAATGCTAATATTAATCGTTACATTAATTTTAAAATTAAAATTTAAAATAATTTTTACGGTAAAAAATAAAAATTATTTTATTTATTTATTTAAAATTTAAATTACAAACTACTATATATTGTGTACTAGAGGTCACCCTGACAAATTCACGTCCACACCTCCGCTTACTTCCAAGTCAAATCGTACGTCAATCCTAACTAATCCCCACCAGTACGCTTCAGTCGTCAGGGTGATAAACGTAAATTCATATAAAAGCGAAAAAATAGCCCCCTATAAAATCTCATTGATTATTCACGGAAAAACACATCAAAACCCAGAAAGAAAGATTGCAAACCGCGTACGCTATCGTGCGCCTTGGTCATATTGACTAGACTATCACAATCTCCACCAAGAAAGTAAAGTCACCGACCTCGTAATTCGCGATGGCCGGCGCAGGTGGGAGCGGAGGTTCGCTGGTGGGGGTGGCGGAACCGCAGTACGTGACGGCGAAGATATCGGTGTGGTGGGATATTGAGAACTGTCATGTCCCAAAAGGTTGTGAGTCCCACTCGATCGCTCAGAACATAAGCTCAGCCTTGGTGAAGATGAATTACTGTGGGCCCGTCTCCATTTCCGCCTACGGAGACACCACTAAGATTCCGGCGACCGTACAACAAGCCTTGAATAGCACCGGCATCTCCTTAAACCATGTACCTGCAGGTACATATAAGTATATACACAGTTACATTTGATTAATTTCGATTTGAAAGTGAAAGGACCGTGTCCTTTTCTGTTGGAGTAACTGGATCGTGGTGAAGTGTGGACGTAGTGTGTGGGTGGGTTTAATTTGTGAGAGTGGTTGAATTGTGTTATGGGGTTTGATGATTGCTCTCAAGAGCAAGGCATAAATTTCTGACCTTTTTGATTTCCGATCTTTAATCTTACTGTTCTTGCGAGCTTTTTTTCCAAATCTGGAAGATACCTTTTTCTGATTTCTCTCTTTTTTAGCATGTGATGTTTGTGCATTTCCGGTGAGGGAATTTAAAGGTTCTATATATTCGCCATTTTTGTTGTGTTGGTAAAAACTGTGGCAAGGAATGGTAATTTTTCCGAATTGTACTGGAAGTTATAACCCAATTGGGGTGTTAAATAACTTATTTTTTATGTATCAAAATGGGCGATTCCATCGGTTATAATTGAAAAGAAGAGTCGCATGTTAGATTAAATTGGGGGAGGTTACGATTCAATGGGCCGTTGGGATTGATTCTAAAACAGATCTTACCACAGTTTAGAATCAATACAGCTTTTCTGAGTCATACATGACCTTTTTTGTAATTTGACGCCAATAGAGTTGTGACTAAGGCCTATTTAGTTGTAATATTGGATATGGTAGCGAGTTTGGTACATCAGCTGGTCCCCTGGTTTCGTTTGCAATTTCGATATCCGTGCCTGCCTCAAAGTTGCATCTTCTCTCTATTTCACTCTTCACTTTTTTGAGGGCACAAATGGGTGCTATTTTGTAATGAAATTATTTTTTCATTATATTTTTTGGACATACTTCTTTTGATTAATGGGGAATAGTTTAATTTGCATACTCTATGTACTACTTTGATCTTCCTATAACCCAAAAGATAAAGTGATTTTTCGTAAACAAATGCTATTGTGAGAATTTTCTAGAATTTTGCTTGAGGAATAATGTTTGTATGACATTGATAATAATTGTTTATTAAAGAGACCATAATGCCTGAGTTAAGACCTTCCTTTTGGTGCTAGTAAATGTATACAATATCTGCCAGAACCTTTATGTTTGGCTAGGGCTTGTTTGGAAATGTTTATGGTTGTTGATTTTCTAAAAAACTAAAAATAGAAACATTTTTCATTTTTCGTTAACAAAAAGTATAATTAAAAAACTTGTTTCGCTGCATTTGTAGTTGTAAAAAAATTTGAAAAAAAAAATAAAAATCTTGTTTGGTTGTAACACTTCTAAAAAATTTTGTGACTAGTTTGTATACATTAACATAATTCCATGCTAATGAAAAGTTCAAACAAAAATCCCATAGCTAATCATCCCATAGTTTTCATGCATGCTACACTCATTTTGTACATGGATTCATTGGACCATTTTCACATTCAACACCATCCCATTTACAACATATGGATTCATTGGACCATGTTGAGATAATGGACCCATATGTAAGGTTTCTTGCAAGTTCTTGCAGAGCCAACAAATCATTTGGATGGGGAGTTCAAGACCCAGAGAGAACAAATAAAGAAAGCCTGGAATACCGAATTGAGGAAAGTCGTTGGAAAAATCTCAAACACCACAATTATTGAAGCCAAAGGAGACACCCAACTCAAATCAAGGCCAACACCACCATAAACTTAGTTCAATTTGACATGTTTGCTTTGTCAATAATGCTTTTCAGAAGTAAGAAGAAGTCCAAAATAAGAAACTTTGCACACCCACCTCCCAAAACACATCAGAAATCACAAAGCAACACACTAATTTCTTGCAAGTGGAGCAACAATCACTGCCACCAAGACTAGTTGAGATTCACAATCCCTACCTAAAGCTCAATTCTTGGAACAAGGACTCTAAATTAATTAGAAAACACACACTGCCTTATATAGAAAGGAAGGAACTAGAGAGAGCAAAAAAAACAAAAATGGAAACTAGAGAGCACCAAAAAAAAAAATTAGCGACTAGAGAGCAAAAAACCATGGATCTATCACCAAAAAATTCAAATCTAAAAATATGTAGCATAAACTCTTCGAATTTAACAGAAAACCATGGATCTTATACCAAAAAATTCAGATCTAACAGTATGTAACATAAACACTTCAAATCTAACAGAAAACCGTAGATCTAACGCTAAAATTTTCAGTTCTAAAAATATGTGCATAAACACTTCGTATCCAACACCAAAAAAATTAAGATCTAACATTTGGATTTAACAGTAGTAGTTTTTTTACATTAATAGAGAGTTGCTCAATGAGGAAGATGAAGAGTGGAGAAGAGGCTGGCCTTTGGCTTGTTTCACTAGCTTCAAACGAGAGAGATGGAGAGCTTCAGACATTGGCTCTCGGAGAAGACGAAGAGAAGAGGGATTTAGGTTAGATGAGAAAGACTATTTATATGGGTGTTCAATATATGGGTATTTTGCTCCCAACAAAATTTGAAGCCTACTAGACCTCTTTAAAACTTGGACGTGCGTTAAATGTTTTTACTTTATTCAAAAACGACTTTTTTGTTTTGTTTTTGAAATCACCCCTCATTTTCAAAACAATGACAAGAAAAAGAAATGAAAATGGTTTTCAAACGAGTTTTTTTTTTCTTATATTCTTCACAAATCAAAATGAAAGCGAAAAACAGAAAACAAAAACATTACCAAACGAGGCCTTAAATTTTGGTTTATTATCAATAGCATTTGTAACTATGTGGATGTTTATGCACAACTACCAGGGATTGCTAGGGGCTTTACTTTGGGATAGTATGAAGGTATAAAATTGTATGGCAAGTTGGCCTTCACTTTTTTGGCTATGAATGATCGTTATCTATGGTTATGGTTGTTAACATTCCAATGCTGTAAAAGCTTGAAGACACAGTTACAATAGTTGTAGTCATTTCCATGGTTTGAGCAGTAAAAACAATTGAACTTAACATCACCATCTTTTTGTGGTTAGAAGTGATTAATTGGATCGTCTTGATGCTTATATCAGGGATTGTAAATCCTACAGATAAGAGTATTTCAAACTTTTGGTGGCAAACATTTGTCAGTATTAGCGCTTCTATCAGGGTTGGTAAAAGAACTGCCCACGTGGGGGATAACCAAAGTAGTACTTTGTACTGAAATCAGAAATGTGATTAATGAAGTGTCTTAACGAGGTCATTAATTACATTAAGAAAGAAAAGTCAGAATGTCCAGCATAATACAAACTAGGATCGGAGTTTTGATTTATCATTAGTTGTAGCTACTTTAATGATGATGGTTTTGAATTTTTTCTGTGCTCTGAAAGTAAGGAGACATCCATGTATAAGTAGCTTTTAATGACAGTTTGTTACTTGCAGTATTCAGCATGTGAGTAGTTCATTTAAACGGATGATCTAGTGTTCCATCCAAATGCCATACATCATTAGAGTGACTTGTATTGCTACAATTTCTGTATTTATTGTCTGGTGTGCATAACATTGTCCCTTGACCTCTCAACCCTTTCGTAGATCAGAAAGGTTTAGCATTGTTTTTCAGTGCCACTGTTATTAATTTTACTGATTAAATTCTAGTTACAATAAAGATGTTGCCACCAAAAGTCTGCCAAATTATAGAGTCGGATATTTTTCATCCACGTGCCCTGTGCACTTGTTGATGTTAAAGGGTGGGGAAACTTTGCTCGAGTCAAGGGCCAAACTAACTTTTTAGTGATGACTTAGAGAAGCTTCTGTTACATGCCACATTTATGAAACACAGATACTTTGATAAGCGTGATGTATCCGTGTCCATATCCTGTACGTATTGGGTACAATCGTCGGGACTTTGCAGACACACATCGGATACTTTCCACAAATATTGAATACTCCTTGGACACACGTGTTTCTATGGTGGATACATTTACCTTATACTTAGTGAGGTGGGTTGTGTGAAAAACATGAATCATACAAATGGGGATTCTTTGTTTCAAGTTAATGTGAAGTAAAAGTTGAGGATTTTCAAAGGGTGGCACATGTTCTACTTTAGAATTGCATAAAATAGTGAATTTAAATCACTGTTAAGCAGTCCATATGTCAGCAAAATAAAATACATATCCTACTTTTAAGATTTTGTCGTATTGTCATATTTGTATCCATTATTTGTATCCGTGCTTCCTAAGGCCTTACCAACAATAGCTTTTATAGTGACTGCTCAATAGAAGGGTTGCCACTAAAGGTCTTGAAGCTTCCACTGCTACTATTTGATTTACATACATTTTTTATGAAACAAATTAAATTATTCATTATTTAATTTTATTAGGTGTTAAAGATGCAAGCGATAAAAAGATTCTGGTGGACATGTTATTCTGGGCGGTGGACAATCCAGCGCCTGCTAATTATTTGTTGATTTCTGGTGATCGTGACTTCTCGAATGCTCTACACCAGCTGAGAATGAGAAAATATAATATTCTCCTAGCACAACCTCAAAAAGCATCCGCACCACTTGTTGCCGCTGCAAAGAATGTATGGCTCTGGACAAGTCTTGTGGCTGGAGGGCCACCGCTAACAAATGGTGAATCAGCCCAATTTGTAAGTAATAGTTATGACTACTTATCCAATTCTGACCCGTTACATATACCTGTTACCGATTCAAGACAGATAAACCAGCACGTGGATTCCTTTTCTGAGGGTATGCATTTGGGAAATCAAAAGTTCTCAGATATGGGAAAGGGAACAGATAGTAAACAAAAAGGAAAAATACGGAAAAACCTGAGTCAACCATTTCTATCAGGATCCTCAAGTGCGTCAATAGGGATTGAAGAAGATCGGAACAATTCAATATCTCGTCAACCGGGATATGCACACCCTATGCAATTCAAGGATTCCCAGGCGTCATCTGTTGATAGTGATCCGAAAATCCCATTTAGTAGACCTGCCCCGAGTTTCATCCCTGGTACTCCTGATTCTTCTTGGGACAACATCAATACTCTTCAGCACCCTTACCAAAATCATTATTCGCTGCCAGTAAGGCCAAACAACCTCCCTATGCCACCTGCATTTGCCCCTAGTAATATGTTTCCACCTACTTCCCTCATCCGTCCTCATTTAATGCCTCCCAGATCAGATGCACCCCCCAGCTATACCTCAGGTCCTCCAATGAATGTGCCTGACATTGGTAAGCTTAAATTTTCTGAGCACCGAAGCAGTAATTACCATTCTCCAATTTCTAAGCCACGGAATGGAGGAGAGCTGAAACAAACTTCTATGATTGATTCTCCCATCAATATAGGATTAAGCAGCCATCAAAAGGGACATACTGTGAAGAACACACAGAACAACAGGTCCCCGCATGGTGGTCCAGCAATTCAGCCACCATTTTCATCTGCAATGGATATAACTAATACATCTGGTAGTGGTGTGTGGGGGACTGTGGGATGCCCGAAACCCTCTGAATATATACAGGGCCTTATTGGGGTTGTTCTACTTGCCTTGAACACCCTGAAAACTGAGAAGATTATGCCCATTGAAGCAAATATAGCTGATTGCATTAGATATGGAGACCCCAGGCACCGCAATACTGATGTTAAGAAAGCTCTAGAGAGTGCTGTTGAGCAGCAGCTGGTAGTTAAGCAGAATGTAGGTGCTTTGCAATTATATGTTGGTAAGAATGGGAAACTATGGAATTGCGTGAATCCTATTGCTGGTAACCCAAAGCAGTACTCAAAAGCAACATGGGATGAAATCCAGAAATTTCTATCATCCTCTGCTGGACGATCAGCAATAATGGCTTCTCAATGCAGGTAATTCCTTGGTAATTTGCTTAGCTATGCCTGTGTTTCTTAAATTTAATTTGATTGCAGAGTTCTCTTATCCTGTCCTACCTGTTGTGTAGATATGAAGCAGCTACGATTATGAAGAATATGTGCTTAAAAGATGTCGCTTTAGGGGACATACTTCAGATTTTGCACTTGGTAATTAACATGAAGAAGTGGATCACACATCATCAATCAGGATGGCAACCAATTAAAATCAATTCTAGCAGAGACCAACTCTAATTCAGGTTGATAGCAGCAACATAGGCTCAACTAAAGTTGGGGAAGGGACGTGTTGGAAGTTCATAATTATCGTTGTGATGGGATAGGGTGAAGAAGGTCCCTTCTTTCCCTTGAACTACCGGCAATAGAGTTGGTAGCTGTGTCAAAAGTGAAGGTAGTAGACTAGTAGTTCAGTACATAGGGGAGGTATCTCTTCTTATTCGAGTTGCTTGTTGTAGTTCTGTTTCCTTGGGAAATCAGAAAGCAATACTTGGCCAGAGAAAGGTCAGACAATGTACAGCAAACTCAATGAGGTTGTAGAGTAGTTTGTTGCCCTATGGATTGCTATGTGCAGCGTAGGTACACCCCCACATGGTTAGTGGGTGATCCATCCTCTAGGTTGTTGGCTCTAAATTCATTAGTCAAAATTTCTGGGAGTAGCTCTCTGTAGCTTGGCCTTGATCAACTTCTGCGGAAAAACATATTTGGGAGAATGATAGTTGCTTTGGTCTCAGGATATCAACGCCCCACTACCGATTTCGATTTCAGAATGGACAACTGTGTCTATGCTTCTTACCGTGAAAGTTAAGTTGTTGTCCATTGTAGACTTTAATGATGGCGAGTGTTGGGCACTAAAAGTGGGTCTAGACTGTGTAGGTTTTTTGGGTTGAAATTAGCTTTTTGTTTTTGGTAACTTGAGTTGAAGTTGGGTGAGAGGTTATGTGCTGCCTAGGGAAACTTAGTAACGCAACAACAGCAAAAAAGCAGCTAAAGTTACGCTGCAGATATGCAATTATGACAGCTTCCAGAATCAGCGAGTTTCGGGGGGAAGCTGATTAATCACCATCTATCTGTATAACATCAGGTATATACAACAGCGAACTTGATAACAAATGACTGTGCCTGTTGCTGTTATGTATGAATGCAGTTGCAATCTACAATGGTGACAAGATGATGGATCCGTCTACCTTAAAAATCCGCAATCATTTATTAAGACAGTTTCTCATCTATTTATTCGCTACGTTTGTTGTTTGGTCTTTAGTATAAGATGCTCTTTTTCTCCTGGTGTTAACTCTTATTGTAGAAACATTATGTACATAAGGGAGAGGAGATGGTATGCTCATTCTGAGCAGAACTCTTTTAAATAAACCCGCTGTTTCTTATATATAGTGTTCCGATAATAATTATATGATGTCGTTTTGGCTCATGTTATGCTCGTATATTTTGCCCCTATGGGATGTACTCGTTTAAGGCTAGACTTCAGAAGATAAAAAATAGCTTCGTGGGACATTCACAAGATATGAACTGAAGTTTTCTTTGTTCTTCATCAATTATTCCCGGTTGGCGTGATTGAAGATGTCTTAAAATTGGGTAAGAATTGGAATCTTACCTCTTTATCTGTTACTTCTCCCGTGGTGGTTTTGCAATTTCTTATGAATAGAATCACGCACTTGAATTGCCTCCTGTTTAACTGGGCAGTTTGCTGCAGGACTTCGGCAGGAAGAAAAAAACAGAACCCTACGGGGTATTGTCAATTTCTGAAGTTGTCAAGTGGATGCCAAACACGGGATTTGACTGCTAACTTGACGGTCTTGATGTGAGACCTTCATTTTTTATTTGTGTTGCTGTGGCCTCTTAACAGAAATGAGCAAGATGGTATGCGACCAGTGAGACTTAAACGCAGGGTGGATACCACTCGGACAAACCAATATGCTCGAGATTCACAATCTTCAAATTGAGATGTTTTGCGAAGCTAATATTTATTGTCTAATCAACGTCAATATATTTTGGGCTTGTTTGGATAACCGGTAAGGATAGGAAAAGATAGGACTTTTTGTTTCCTAACCCATCCCACCCAAACCCAATCAGCCCCTTAATTGAATGGGTTATGATTCCTATCCAATCCAAAGCATTGTTTGACAAAGAACAAATCACTTTCGATGGCCCACGTCTTTTGACCTTTGGTTTTGTAGAAGTTTACCATTCTAACCATTCACCAACGTTAATTTCAAAGAGATGAGAAACAAAACAAAACGGATCTGTCTTGGACCATAATCAGGCAGAGAGAGAGAGATTTAGAGAGCGGCTGCGGGAGAGCAAGAGGCAGATCTGGACGCTGTCATCTTCTTCGTGGTGGGTTAGAGATTCTGATTAAGAAGAAATTTTTTGAAAAACAAAACTCTACACCCAATAACCAAGTCGTCCTCTCTGTTTTCGTTTATGGCCTTGTAAAAAGTTTCACAAAAAAATGTTTGTTGATGGGTTATGGCTTCTGATTCAACACCTCAAAAAATTTTTAAAAAAAAATTAAATGTGCCATTGGTATGGGGAGAACATACCTCAACACCTTGGTGGTTCTCTCATGTTGCTTTTAAGTGAATGAATAGTGGAATGGAGGTTGGTGTATTGGAGAGTATGAGAAGACATAGCAAGGGCTGATGTTCTTGTCATCCACAGTCGACGTCCTCTGGTTTGGAGAAAGCAAGGGCAAGTGATCAGTGTTAAATGGTAAAGGTAAAGCAGGGGTATTATAGTAATTAGGCAATATATCCCATTGGTTTGGTTTGTAACCCATGGAGCTTGGATAAAAAACACTGTAGCACCCGGGTCAAGGTTCCTTCCTCAATTTTTGCTTCCCAAACAAAGATTTTATGGGACCCATTACCTTATTAGCCTACCCATATGGTGTTAACCCACTTTAACCTACTACTCAAACACACCCTTTGAATAAACACTAAGACATATTTTGCCAAAAGAAATGTAAAAATTACCCTATCAAGTTGAAGAGGATAAGACCAAATAAAAAAGTAACCCCACAAAGAAGAGATGTTCAATTCGATCCCTTTTGTTTGGGTGGAGGGTGGCGCCTTTCTTTAGTCATAGGTGGGGCTTTATTTATCTTATGAGTAATATTAGACCGACCCAAAAAGGAAACAAAAATAGGGATGAAAGTGTCATTACCATAGTTGTGTTTTTTTCAGGTTTACATATTTGAAATTCAAATGTATCTCATTATGATAATGATGTCATTTGATCTATGTTTTTGGTTAGTATAACACTACTCTTTCGATTAATAATTGATGAGCCCAAAGTTAATTGGGCCAAGTTCAATAAATCAAGAAGGCCTAAGTCAACTAAAGGGTGAAGCAGACCCACTTTGTCAGTCCGACCCAGTTTAGGATTTAAGAAGCTCGGAGAGATAGGANAAAACAAAACGGATCTGTCTTGGACCATAATCAGGCAGAGAGAGAGAGATTTAGAGAGCGGCTGCGGGAGAGCAAGAGGCAGATCTGGACGCTGTCATCTTCTTCGTGGTGGGTTAGAGATTCTGATTAAGAAGAAATTTTTTGAAAAACAAAACTCTACACCCAATAACCAAGTCGTCCTCTCTGTTTTCGTTTATGGCCTTGTAAAAAGTTTCACAAAAAAATGTTTGTTGATGGGTTATGGCTTCTGATTCAACACCTCAAAAAATTTTTAAAAAAAAATTAAATGTGCCATTGGTATGGGGAGAACATACCTCAACACCTTGGTGGTTCTCTCATGTTGCTTTTAAGTGAATGAATAGTGGAATGGAGGTTGGTGTATTGGAGAGTATGAGAAGACATAGCAAGGGCTGATGTTCTTGTCATCCACAGTCGACGTCCTCTGGTTTGGAGAAAGCAAGGGCAAGTGATCAGTGTTAAATGGTAAAGGTAAAGCAGGGGTATTATAGTAATTAGGCAATATATCCCATTGGTTTGGTTTGTAACCCATGGAGCTTGGATAAAAAACACTGTAGCACCCGGGTCAAGGTTCCTTCCTCAATTTTTGCTTCCCAAACAAAGATTTTATGGGACCCATTACCTTATTAGCCTACCCATATGGTGTTAACCCACTTTAACCTACTACTCAAACACACCCTTTGAATAAACACTAAGACATATTTTGCCAAAAGAAATGTAAAAATTACCCTATCAAGTTGAAGAGGATAAGACCAAATAAAAAAGTAACCCCACAAAGAAGAGATGTTCAATTCGATCCCTTTTGTTTGGGTGGAGGGTGGCGCCTTTCTTTAGTCATAGGTGGGGCTTTATTTATCTTATGAGTAATATTAGACCGACCCAAAAAGGAAACAAAAATAGGGATGAAAGTGTCATTACCATAGTTGTGTTTTTTTCAGGTTTACATATTTGAAATTCAAATGTATCTCATTATGATAATGATGTCATTTGATCTATGTTTTTGGTTAGTATAACACTACTCTTTCGATTAATAATTGATGAGCCCAAAGTTAATTGGGCCAAGTTCAATAAATCAAGAAGGCCTAAGTCAACTAAAGGGTGAAGCAGACCCACTTTGTCAGTCCGACCCAGTTTAGGATTTAAGAAGCTCGGAGAGATAGGAGCACATGGGAGAAACTATTGGGATACGCACTGATGGAATCCAATCATACCTTGATTATACTTACTAAAAGAATAATGCCTCCTTCCTCACATTACCGCCTCACAATACCTATATAATGTAAGCCCTCTCAACATAAAGGGCATCACCTTAAGATCTCTACTTTTTGTCCTCTCTACACTTCCCTAATTTCTCTCTTCTGAAGCATTGTAATACTCTTCGAATATATTCTCCCGGTGACTTTATTCATTAATAACTACCCCCCAGCCACCGCCGCTGTTTTTCGAGAGTGGAGTAAGTCACCCACATCGAATCACTATATATCTGTGTGATTGCTTTTATTTTACTGTTTTGCTATTGATTGTCTATTTATTACTCATTAATTGCACACTTACATATACTCAACTGTTGATATTACGTAATACCAATTTGTGTATCATCAGTTTGGCGTCGTCTGTGGGAAATGAATAGGTTTTCTAATCTCTTTAATCCATGGTAATCATGACCAGATCGATAAGTTAGCAACCGGAAGACAACAACCCGGTCCACCGGGAGGAGGCCCCGCCTCATCTCGTACCCTCGGACCAACTCCACCACACGATGAACGAGAGCATCAACAGCACCTCAGTGAGATTCAGACTATTGTCAAAGGGTTAGGAGGAGGAGGTGACTCCAAATCTGTCAAAAAGGCACACGCCCGGAGAGCTAGATAGGCAGAGTCACATAACTCTCGCCTAAAGAAGATACCTCGACATGGGGAGGAGGAAGTCATCACCTTCTTAGACAGAGACCTTGAGGGGATCCAAGTCCCACATGATGACCCTCTAGTCTTGACCCTGATGGTAGCCAACTATCAAGTTAAGAGGATCCTGATCGACAATGGTAGCTCAACTGACATTCTGTTCGTGACAGCCTATGATAGCCTTCATCTCGGCAGGGAGCGACTGCAGTCTGTCAGGAATCCTTTGGTTGGCTTCTCGAGAGAGAGAGTTTACCCCTTAGGATTTATCACCCTGCCTACACAACAGGAACTACACTGAGGAGCTCCACTATCATAGTAAATTTTATTATACATGACTGCCCTTCTGCTTATAATATAATCCTTGGATGCCCTTCCCTCAATACCCTAAGGGTTGTGCCATCAACCTACCATCTTCTCCTCCATTTCCCAACCACTAGCAGGATTGGAGAGATCAGAGGAGACTAGATCTTCGTCCGAGAGTGCTACGTGGCCTCTATGAGGGCTAGGAGACCACATGAGACTCTCCAGGTCGACGTACTTGACCAGAGGGATGATAGTACCTTGGAAAGGGGGGAACCAACAGAAGAACTTTGCCCTGTAGTAGTAGATGACAGCCTTCTAGAGAGGAGGGTCTATATAGGCTCCTCACTCTCCTAGGAGCAGGCATCATCCTTGGTAGACTTCCTCAGGCGAAACATAGATGTCTTCGTCTGGTCCCATGAAGATTTGGAGGTCATCGATCCCGAAGTGGGCTCCCATCGAATCAACGTTGACCCCAGATACATGCCTATCCACTAGAAGTTGAGGAATGTGAGTGCTGAGAGGGGGCAGGGCATGGAGAAGAAAGTGGACAAGCTACTAATGAACGGGTCAGTGAGGGAGGTAGCCTACCCAGACTGGCTATCCAATGTGATAATGGTAACAAAGACCAATGGGAAGTGGCGCCTCTATGTGGACTTCACTGAGCTCAACAAAATCTGTCCCAAAGACAGCTACCCTATCCCACGCATTGACCTCCTCATTTACGCCACCGTTGGACACGAGCTCCTGAGTTTTTTGGATGCCTACTCCGGGTACAACCAGATCAGTATGTTTCCTCAAGATCAGGAG